CCATTCCACTGAATATATATATATATATATATATATATATATATATATAGGAAGTTCTAGAATTTGATTTTAACTTTCGACACTAAACGTGCGATGTGCCATGAACCAGACATGTTACAGTAATCGATATACTACGCTCAAGAGCCATACCAGAATCATGATTTTGCTACCCTGAGCCGACAATTGAGGCTCTCAACGATTTGCTAGGCGTATCATAATTTATATTCTTAAATGCTCTCACCGCTATCATATGTTCTAAAGGACCGTAAGAAAGAATGTGAACCTCAATAAATACATTTGTTTGTCCATATTTTTTCTTCTGAAACCCAGCAATGGGTTTTAAAACTCTGCTGTTTAATAGGCGTGCCGTAAACACGTAATGTGGTTTTCAAACAATGGATCTTTTTGGAACGTATATCTTTTACATCCACTATATTGTTTACTTGCTAGTTTCTCAGATAAGTAGCACTGCCTCACTGCGTGTACTACACATACTACACGGATTCACATACTTTACGTGTGCAAGTTTATCTCGCTCCACATCATGAATAAGTATTCATATTCGATATGGGCAACTTGGCTCATGCTTATGCTGATCGTAATCAGCGAGAAGGCTTCATTCGAATTTGACCTTGACAATGTAAGTCCATTCTCAGATAACTCCACGGAACAAACATACCAAAGAATATCTGACGATTCGCTTCTATGGGGCCCATATAGATCAGGAATATACCTTGGAATCCGCCCTCGTATACCTAAGTCACTAATGTCTGGTCTTTTGTGGTTCAATGTTGACTCTCATCGTGGAATTCTGTCAATAAGACATGCATATGAGCAAGGTCATAACCTTGCAAAAGCCAACTGGGTTAATTTTGACCCTCGGATAGGTGGCAGACAATTTATTTCTGATAATGAATGTCATATCAATATCACGATTGACTTCGTGAAGAGCAATGATGGCAAGAATTGGGGAGTCAAGGTGCACTCTGTGCCGCATGAAGGATTTGAACATCTCTCTACATCTTTCGTCTGGTACTCTGGCCTAGAGGGAGAGGAGCATGATGATGCTTCGAAGGAAATTGTTCCTTCCGGCTTTTTGAAACTTGACAATCCGCATGATGCTCGTGGATATGACACTGTTAATTTGTCAGGCTTCTCGAAAGAATTGGGTCTTTTT